GTTTTATTATTATTATTATTATTATTATTATTATTATTATTATTGATTTTCTTTTATGTAAATAACCAAACACAGTAATGTAATATTTCTGAGAATTTGAAAAAGATTTATGAAACCAAATATAGTAATATATTATTCTTAGGAATCATATTACCCTTTATCACTTTTCTGGAAATATGATTTCCACTGAATACCAAACGCATATAATTCTCAGAAAAAAAATAATAAAAAAAGATGACACGTGCTCTGCACGTGCCGTTCTCAACCAGTCTTGTAAACGATTCAGGTTCCTCATCTTTTTTTCTTCAGCGACTCGCGTGGGTTTCAGCTCGCTTTTCTCTGCCATTGAAACCATTCTCAAATCTCAGTCCCAAGTTCACAGAGGACGAGAAATACCATTTTCCAGCAATGGCTGCGATCTTAGCTCGCAAATCTCTTCTCGCTCTTCGCGCTCGTCACCTGGTAAGAATTCTCTCTTTCCCTTACTTTTCCCCTTTCATTTTTTCGTTGTAAAATAAGAATGAATACCTGAAATTTTCAATTCAAGAATAATCTTGCTTAATTCTATTTGTTGATTTTTTTTCTTCTAATTTTCGTACTTCTCTATATCGGTTAACAACAACCCAGTATTATTAATTGGCGATCGGAGTTCATTGGATTCTTTATTCCTATTTATTTGGACCCCAAAAGAGTGCGAATCAAAGAAAAAGGGGCAAATAGCTTTTAAACTCTGAGTTATGATATTGTCTCTGTTTTTTTTTTTTTTTTTTTAAATCTTTCTCCTCCTTTGAACCAAAAATCCCTAACCCCATTCTTCAGTACTAAATCCTTGGGATAATGCTCAAGCCTTTCAAATACTAGTTATTTATATGCCATTTGTTTCTCTTGATTTCATAACAAAGTGAATTTATTTGATAATTGTTCATTTCACGTCATTAACTTTGATAGTTTGATGCTTGCATTATCATCACTATTCAATTTGATATGTTTGTTAAAACGATAAGGATAGGGATTTTGTAGCTTTGATCTCTTTGTTTACAAACAATAACTAATTGATTACCCTAATCTCTATGCTTTCGTGATCAATATGAACTTTCAGTCTTTATGCCGGTTGTGAATAACTTTATTATTAATACCTTGAATGAAAGATTCTTTTGAGGAGATAAGAGAATTATTACCCCGTGATTAGAACTATCAAGTTGGAGCCCAGCTCCAACTATGAGAGTTTGCTTTTCTTTCATCTTTCTTAGAGCAGTCTGTATGATCAAATAAGGGATAAGACCGGGATAAGACCGCTCCTGGTGTACGAACTATATATATATATATATATATATAGAGAGAGAGAGAGAGAGAGAGAGAGAGAGAGAGAGAGAGAGAGAGAGAGAGAGAGAGAGAGAGAGAGAGAGAGAGAGAGAGAGAGAGAGAGTGTGTATAATATTGTCACAC